ACACACACACACACACACACACACACACACAGACACACACAGACTCACTGGTTTTGCCCCCAGCCTACCCCGCCCCTCGCCAGCCCTGAGCAGATGGAGCTCTGTCTTCCCTGTCTGTTCTGTGCATGGGACTGAACAGGGTTCCCAGTGCCCACCCCCAGCCCTGCACACCAGACAGGCGGTGTGGCAGCCAAGTCCCCAGAAACTGCAGCTGCCTGCCAGGGCTCAGTTTTCCAGCCTCAGTCCAGGGCTCCTTCTGCACAGACTCAGGCAACCTCAGTTGCAGCCCCCCATTCCCACCCCATCCCTGCCCACCCCACCCAGGCATCTCCCAGGCTGATCCTCCCCACCTCACCCCCGCTCAGCGACAGGCTTCCCGTGGCTGGCACCACCTAATGTGCTTTTCACTGAGCAGTGGGAGGCTCAGAAAGAGGCCTTACATATTGATGAGCTCCTCACTCACTGGGGTCCCTGATGATCAAGTCAGCCACTCTTAGTGTAGAATCCCATCCCAGTCCTGGCTAGGGTAGCTTAGAAAGAGGAATTCCCTTCTCCACCTGCTCTTGCTCCCTTTCCCTCCTGCTCTTGCGCTGTCCCCTGCCTGGCCTGGGATCACTGGGTACCTACCCAGAGGGAAGCTGTATTGATTTTAGCCACTAAGTCTTGGATCTCCTCCTCCCAGTGTCTTCTCCCCTTCTTTACTCTGAAGCAAGGCCACCAGAGGGCTCCACTTCAAAGTCCTTGTAGGGGACCTCTCTGGCTGAAACCCCTCCCTGACCCGCAGTCCTACCCCTCAACATAGATCCTGCTGCTGTTTCCCTTTCTCCTCCAGGGCCTCATTCTTGCATGCTGAGTCTCTTGGTCCAGTTCCTAGAGTCATTTGCCTTCCTGATGGCTAAGTCTTCAAAATAGATCCAGAGCTGGCTACTGCTCAGCACTGCCACGGCCAGCACCCCAGCCACCATCCCCTTATCTGCAGCTCTGACTGCTCTTCCTGGTTCAGCCTGGTGTCTGCTCAACCTAGCAGCTAGAATGATCCTTTAAGAACTAAAGTCTGGATATGCTTAAACCCTCCAAAGGGCTCTTTGTCTTTCTCAAAGTAAGGACATAACCATGATCTGACCCCCGTCTTCTCTCCTCTTCCCCATTTTTCTCCATTCCAGCCACAAGGGCCTCCTGCTCGTCCTCAAACTCAGCAAACATGCTCTGGCTATAGGCCTTTGCACACACTCTTCTTGCTCTCTTCAGCACTCTGTTTCTCATACCTGCATGACTCACGCCTTGCTTTATTCAGGTCTGATCTCCATGTCATTTAAAAAAAATTTTTTTTTCAATACCAAGGATTCCTACCACTGAGCTTCATCCTCAGCCCATTTTATTTATTCATTTTTAAAATTTTGAGATAGGACCTCCCCAAGTTGCTGAGGCTGGCCTTGAACCTGCAATCCTGCCTCAGCCTCTTGAATTGCTGGGATTATAGGCTTGCACCGCTGCAACTGGCTCCAATGTCCTCTTGATATCATCCCCCCTTTCCCTCCCATTCCGCATCCTTAACTGCCTACATTTTCCATTCTGTAACCCGTCACGTGATAGACTTATTTACTGTCTGTTTCCTCCACAGTTTTTCTCACTGCCGTATCTCTAGCACCAAAAGCAGTACCCGACCCTCAGCTCAGAATTTTAAAATCCACCACCCTATTCAGAAACCTTTGGTGACATCCCACTGCCAGCTAGGTAAAGTTCAATGCCCCCACTCTAGCCTTACCGATCCCCACCCTCTGCATGTTCGTGTGCTCCTGCCAAAGCCTGAACCTTCTCTGCATGGCCCAGGCTGTGCTCCTCCTGCAGAAGCCCTGCCTTGGTATTTTTCCCCTCTCCAGTGGCCACCTCCTTCAGGTGGAGTGCCTTTCCTGACCACCCACCCAGAGATGGCCTCTGCTTTCCTGTAACCCTAGGGTGCTGTGCTGCTCACGCAATGGGTACCCCACAATTATCTGTGGACTGAGCAAGTGTTTTCATCCCCACCCCAGTCATGGCTCTGCCGGGCTGATACTCACATCGATTTCACTAAGGATGACATCAATGATGCTGCCGATGACAATCAGGAAGTCAAACACATTCCAGGGGTCTCCAAAATAGCCCTGGGAATGAAAGACAGGAAAACAGGGGTAAATTTTGTGAAGCGGGGACTCTGGTGGCCTGCACAGGGCAGTGGTCCAGTGAGATCTTCTGGGATGGACCAAGGTCAATGTCCACGGTGTTGCTTCCCTCTGGGGCTGCGTGGGCCAAGCCAGCCAACTCCCTTCTCCTCTTGGCACTTTAGTTTCTTCCCCTAGAGTGTCAAGTGGTTGAGAGAGTTGTTGGGGACTAAGGACTTGGGGTCCTGATCCAGATGGGGAACTCTTACATCCCTGAGCCCCTCTTAAAGTCCTGGCAGGTTTGGGAAACCAGAACCATCAGTGGGTGGCTGGGCTGGGCTGGGCTGCTGGCTGTGGGAGTGGACTCCAGAACCAAAGAACCAGGGCAAGATGCTCCGCGACCCTGGGCCCGTGCTTCAGAAGCTGAAGCGAAGGTGAGGAATTTAAGACAGGCTCAAAGATGGGGCAGAAATGGGCACCTATTGTGTCATCAGTTGCTTCTGGTGGCCTGGAGTTTCCCGTGGCCTGTACCTGACAGTGGCTGTGGGCAAAGCGGTGAGCAGGCAGGGAGCAGAGGTGCTGGACCAAGGGGCTTCAGCAGTGAGGAGACGGGGACGGTGCTCCACGGGAAGCCCCCCCAGACTGGCCACAGGGCAGGCACTCACCCTGGCCTTGAATGCCATGAGCTTGAGGACCATCTCCAGGGTGAAGATGATGGTGAAGGCCACGTTGAGGATGTCTGAGATGTGGTTCATCTCCTCTGACTGGTTGTAGTGCTGCAGAAGGGACAAGGGAGAGGTGGGCCACAGGGTTGGACTTGCAAAACAGCCTGCCGATCCCATTTTAAGAGCATCCATCCTTCCTGGGAGCACCCCCCCACCCTTTCTTGGGTTCCCTTTCTACCTTGTTTTAGCTCAGAAAACTAGGAGCCTGCTTTAGTGATCCCCTGAATCCCACCAAGTTTTTGGAACACTCCCTTTCCCTGCCTACAAAAGAGGGGGAGGGGAGGTTCTGCAAGTTCAAGTCCAGCTGAGTGTGTTCCAGGGTTGCAAGGCCAGAGCTCATTCATATATCTGTCTTGGGTGACCAGGGTGTCCTGGTTATCCTCCAGGCAGGGCTCTGTGATAGGCTCCACATAGGCATTTGGGCATAGGACTAGGAGACAAGACCCCTGGGTCCTGAGGTTGGCATTGTCACTAGCTGGTGGGAGACAGAGCTCACCAAGCTTGCTGTCCCTGCATTCTGTCCCTAGTGGTGTCAGAGTATTTAAATCAACAACTTGCCCCCTTAACCCACTGCTATGCCTCCCCCCCCCACCGTAAATCCATGGTCTTAGAGATTTCCTTCTTTCTTAGAAAGTTGATGAAACTCCCTCTCTTCCACAAGGCCTTCCCAGGTTGGTCAGAAGGATCTGATGGCTGTCCCCACCCCTCCAGCCTTGGTGGTGCTGCCCAAGTCTGCTGCCTGACTCAGCCCCAAACCCAAGCCACTGTTCATGATCCTCTGTGTGGTCGGGGCCTGCTGACTCAGTGACTCCATATTCTCAGGACCAGGCACTGTGTGGTCTTATCATCCGGTGTGTCTTGGGCTCCTAGGGGCGGGGAGCCTGGCTGTGCAATTCTATTTATATAAGACTTATATAAGGATCACATGCTTAATTAAGATTTGATAAGGCTGCTGCTGATTAGGATATTGTCTATAAGGAATGCTCAACTCCTAAGAGAGACACCTGTTCTGTGAATACTAAACCCAGTTTTCTTGGGACCAGAGCCAAGATTCCAACCAACTCAACCATCTAGCTTTGCAACCTCAGAAGAAAAACAGAGAAAGCGCTTTCTACTTCCGACACTTCCTCCTCCTGTTTGCAGGATCACCACACTATTTGTATGTTCTGAATTAGTTCCTGAATAAACCATAGTGCCTGGTGACGAATCCTGTGACCAGTTTACTTCTGTGTCTTGCCCAGCCCCTCACCACGCAGTGCCTGGCATGTTAATGTCTACTGGGAGGAACCAGGAAATCCCATCCTACATACCCTGGCCTACCTAGGGCCCAGATCTCTTGTGTCCTGGGAGGCCTCCTTACCTGCATGCCCAGGCAGATGGTGTTGAGCATGATGAGGGCAAACATCAGGTATTCAAAGTAGGAGGAGGTGACGACATACCACACCTGGTACTGGTATGGGTTTTTGGGGATGTAGCATCTCAGTGGGCGGGCCTTCAGGGCATACTGCACGCATTGGCGCTGGGACACAATACACAGGGTGGGTTAGCACCAGGAGCCCCCTCCCCAATGCACATCCATGGGCTTGAGGGAACTCTAAATTCTGTGAAGGCAGGAGGAACCATGGCTGGGGGACTGCATGGACTATTTAGGGGAAGAATCTCACTGGGATCCATGAGGTGCCTCCTATGAACTTGTCTCCTGGAGACAGAGGTACCAGTTGTAACCATGGCTCTGGCTCAGCCTAGGGGCTCTGAAGGGCTTCCTCTCTCTGAGCATCATGGGGGTTCCACGAGAGAATCTCCAGCTTGGTCAACTAGTATGTAGGTTGGATGTGGTGTGGAGTGCATGGAGTTGGGGCTGGGCCTTAAGTGGAGGTTCTGGGGTCACTCTTAGGACCCTCTTGACTGGCCAGAGCCCGAGCTCAGGGCCTGTTGGGGCTCTGTTCTCCATCTCTAGCAGGAAACCCAGGCACCTGGTTCTTGTCCAGCTCGCAGTTCTTGTACTCGGTCTCCCCCTGCTCCTGGAAGGTGACAATGACAAAGCCCACAAAGATGTTCATCATGAAGAAGGCAATGAGGATGATGTAGATGATGAAGAAGATGGCCATCTCCACTCGGTTGTTGTAGATGGGGCCTGTGTCTTCCTTATTTGAATCTATGGCCTTGTACAGTAGCCTTGGGGTGGACAGAGAGGAGAGGATGAGGGCCTTGGGTAATGAGGCAGCCAGCTACCCAGGAAGGGTCGGAATTACCCCACTGGCCACAGGGAACCCAGGGAACTTTCTGAACAGTCAAGTGATGGGAGAGAAGGAAGGACAGGGCCAGAGGAGGCTGGAACCATCTGGGAATAGTCCTACCCTTCTATGAAATGCTCCATCTATGGCTAATCAATCACTAGGACTCCCCTGTGGGCAGGAGAGCATATCCCTATTGGGGCATTGGACACATTTTGTTGGTGTCTCCTGGTCAGAGACCCTTTGTAGTGACCAGTCAACACGAGTCCTACAAACCATCAAGGAGCTGGTGGGTTTGCTGAGCCTTATCACAGGTCTGCGAGGTGCAGTGGGGGCTATGGGAGAATGATAGCTGGTTCCTGGCATTGCCCTGACAGTGCCTGTGTTGGACCTGAGCCTCAGGCCTCACTCACTGGGGCCATCCCTCGAAGGTGGAGACCGTGAAGAGTGACATCATGGCTGAGAGCACGTTGTCAAAGTGGAAGTCGTTGTGTACCCACTGGCGGGGGCGCAGCTCTATCTGTGTGGGATCCCCATCCTTGTACACGTAGTAGTAGCCCCTGGTGCAGGGAGGCCCAGTCACTCCACTGAGTGTAGCTGGGCTTCCTCTGCCCCACCTGAATCTTCTGAGTCCTGAGCAGTTCTTGTACAGGAGAGACACCGTTGGACACCCTCTCCCCACAGCTGCCCGAGGAAGGGGGCGTCTATGAACTTGTCTCCAGTTCCCAGCCCGAAGGGCCAGCGTGCCCCATATATGAGGTCCCTGCAGCAGGACCCTCCCACGGTGCCCCTCAGCCAGCAGAGCATATGTACCTGCACTCTTCTTCTGTCATCTTGGATAAGTCATTGCAGCTGAAGAACTTCCCCTACATCCAGGAGGAGGGAAAGATGGAGACATGTTGTCATGGAAACAGGAGAGGAAAGTGGGCTACAGAATCATACAGTAAGGCCATCTGGAAGGAGGAGCCTCCCCTTCCTCTCAGAGGGGTGGTCTTTCTCCTTCACCATCCTCCGTCTCCAGGGCTCTCCCTGGCTTCCCTGCCCAGACTAGCTGCTCTCAAAGGTGAGAATCCAGCTCTTTAAGTGAGCATTTGCTGAGGCCCCAAGTGATGGAAATAGAAATGCAGCCCTGGTCCTGCTCCTCTCCCTTGGAGCGGGGAGACAGAGCCCCTCGCCTCTCACTGCAGAAGGAGCCCCTTGTGTTCTCCCCAGTGAGCAGCAGGGAAAAGGTCTTCCCCACCTCCCGCCTCCCCTCTCCTGCCATAGGCTGGCCCCTAGGGCCGCTGTGGAAACAGGAGCTGAGAGATGGACCCTAGGTGGGCTCTGATGATTCAACTTGTCCTCAGAGTGGGACAGGGGACCCTAAGGCCTGAGTAGGGGACTCTGGGGTCCCCCTACCATCAATGAGAGCACTTTCTCTTTTTGTCTATGTCACCTTTGGATACCTGCGAAAGACTCGGTTTGAATAGAGGAGTTGGTTCCTAGGTCTGAATGTGGCTCAAATGAAGTTTGAAACCCACAGATTCTCGTTTAGGCCCTCTAAGGCCCAGAGAAGGAAATGCCATCACTGAAGACGCAGGACTCGCTGAAGCCAGCTGCCCTGCCCCTGTGTGTGGTGGGGCTCCCATCACACCCCCTCTTGAGGATTGCTGGAGCAGAGCTTGGGATAACGCGGGGGTTTGTGGGGGAAATGTGGGGAGTGGAATAACATGAAATGCATGGGACAGGTTTCCAGAGTAAAATGTGACGTGTGTGACCAATGTGTTCCTATTAGCTGGGCAGGCAGGAGCTGAGGGCTTTTGATGAGAGATGAAAGCGCAGAAGTTGTGGTACTGAGGTGCCATTGCTCTTGCCCAGAAGGGACATGGCAGCCAAAGGAAGGGCAGCCCCTCCCCCAACCTTCCTTTAAGGGCAGTGTCTGGTGGGCTCCTATGTGCCAGGCCACAGGTGGGGCTCCACAGGAAGGGATGGGTCTGGCATGGACTCTGCCCTTAGTGGGTCCTGGGAACCCCCAAGCCTAACAGAGGAGAAGGTGGGGGGTAGCCCCTTGCCACGTCTGGAGGCAAAGACCACACGTGGCTGTCCAGATGTCTAGATGGTGTAGTTTTTTGCCCCTGAAGGTCCTCTAGGAGCCCCACCTTAACTATGTTCACCAAATCCTGTTCCCTGCCCTCAAGGAGGAACATGTGGTTTGTCTTGTGACCTCCTCAGCCCTAACAGAGGCCCTGGCCCCATGTATGGGATGACGCTTCGTATGCTGAATGCATAAATACCATTGTGTACCTAAGACTCACTGAGGTTATATAATCATGACTTTTCAAGGACCATGCTTTGGGGACAGGAGTGGGTTGCGTCATGACAAGGAGTATCAAGGGTCAGTGGAACACTCAGATGTCAGTTTCTGAGTATGGCAGGTGACCTAAGAGCCAGAGGCATCTGGAAGCCAGAGTTTTGTGGGAGGGGACATCTTTGTGGGGCTGATTCCTAGGGAGGAGCTGAGTAGCTGTGTTTATCCAGGAAAATGAGCCTAGAATAAGGCCAGCTTCAGGCATGAAGTGAAGGACAGCCACCTCAGAAGCTCCTGGGAGGCTTGGCTGATGCCAACCTCCCGGCTGGGTTCATGGGCTGCAGAGCCCTGCTGCACCAACAGAGCTGGAGGTGGTGGGGCGGGGCAGGTGGTATGTTGTAACCTGGGCCTGGCAGGGTAAGAAGAAGTGGCTGAGGTGATGAGGGGAAGAGTGACCGCAGAGGGAAGAGAAGACACAGGCAACGGTGGCCAGCAGAGCCACAGGCCAGCCATGGGCATCACTTAGGAAACTGGATCTAACCCCCAAACTGTGCATTTAGGGAACATTTGCTTTCACAATTTGGGGCTCCCTCTGCTTGGGAAAGAAATCCATTGGCACTTTCCATGGCCTGAGAGAGGCCCCAGGTGGGGAGGGGCCAGGCTGCCCAGGAAGGGGGGCCTCACCTTGAAGAGCTGGACCCCAATGCAGGCGAACATGAACTGCAGGAGTGTGGTGACCAGGACGATGTTCCCGATGGTGCGGATGGCCACGAACACACACTGCACCACGTGCTGGGGAGAGAGGGGCCGATGCGGAGCCAGGCCTACACCAACTGCATCCTACTGTCGGCTGGGGGAACAGTTCCCAGGGAAGCATGGCTGCTCCAGCCTCTTCCTTAACCCCCATTTGGCCAAAGAGATGGACCTTTGATGTCCAGCCAGGCTGGACAGGGTTTCTGGAGTCCTGCTAGGGTCCCTCTCTCACCTTTAACCCTTTGGCTCTATTGATAGCTCGGAGGGGTCGGAGCACCCTTAGCACCCTCAGAATCTTCACCACAGAGATGGCGCTGGACCTGGGGGAGGCACAGGGGGTGGGGCTGAGGGTAGCCTGTTCCAGCCAGTGGGGCCTCCATGCACCTCCTGCCTCTACTCTCCACACAGCTGCCCTTGGTGGGCCAGGCAGCAGGACACAGGCTTTCTCTGGGTGGCTGGAGGTTCCGTCTCTCCCATCAGGCCAGCAGGGGTTGTGCTCCCCATGGGGAGACAGGGGCTAATTTCTCCTCTCTGCCTCCCTTCTCAGTTTCCAGGACAGGGCTTTGCTCATAGAGCACTGCTCCTTCAGTTCAGCTGGGGACAACCAGGAACCCCCCCACCCACGTCCCTGAGAGACCCTCCTCCTGCAGCATGGGGTGGTATTCCTGCTTCAAAAACCTGGCACAGAGAAAGTTGGGGGCATGCCCAGGGTTGACCCTTGCCCTGCTCACTCTAGTCCCATGGAGATGAGGGACACGGCCACCACCAGCAGGTCCAAGATGTTGAAGTAGTTGCGGCAGAAGGAGCCTTTGTGCAGGAAGGCCCCGTAGGTGGTCATCTGAGGGGAGAGAGGCAGTGTCTTGGGTCGTGAGCTTGGGGAGATCAGAGACTTCCCTGCCTTGCCTCCCAAAGAAGGGCTCCTTGCCTCTGTCTGCTCAGGAGGAGTGAGTACAGAGACAGCCTGCCTGCCTGGGAGTCTCTGCCACTCCACTCCCTCCCTAGGCCTAAGCGCACCCTCTGCTCATGGTGGAAACACCGGACTTCTCAGGGGCGGTTGTGCTGGGCTTGCCTCTCTGAGCACAAGTCCTTGACTTCACAGGCTCCTCTCCTGTGACCCTTCTCCCTTCTGAGGGGCAGGACCCAGATCCTCCTCCCCCTGGAAAGCTTTCTGGGAATTTTCCTCTGCTCAGGGATTGCTATGCTGGGTTCAACTGCCCTTTGAGGACCCCAGAACTTACCAACCCCTTCTCTCTGCACCCCCTACCTACCCCCTGCCTTCTCGCTCCCCTCTCGACTTCTTATATTATACTCCCTTAAGGTCCAATTCAAGGCCCTGTATGATTTTGTCTTATCTTGTCTTCTCAGCCCCAGTAACCAGGTTTTTCCCTGTGTTGACGGAACATCTCAATCCAAAGAGGCCACATTGTCCTCTCCAAGAATGTCCCCAAATCTTACAATGAATTTGCTGCTCTCTGTCCTCTGGGATTGCCCTGGTTTTCTCTTCCTAATGAAGTCCTGTCCAACTTCAAGGCCTAGCTCTTATGCCCCCACCTCCACAAAGTCCTCTTTGACCTTGGGAATCCACTGTCTCTGCTCAACTCATTCAGTAGTTGAGGCCCTGAAATAAGGGCCATCCCACAGTCTGCTCTGATGGCTGCCTCTCCTCTCCTTGTTGGTGAAGGTAAAGGCCGGGATGAGCCCTCCCTCTGCCTGCATCCCCAAAGTCCACTGCACTGTGATGGCTTCAACTCAGTGTGCCCACCTCAACAAGTGGGCAAGTGGGGATTTGCTGTGGATAAGACATGAACAGCGTGTGGCTGCCAGAACCCCAGGCTGGGACAGTGGTCACTCCCCTGGGGACTCTTGGGAAGTCAATAGTAACCAAGGTCTAGGAACAAACTCCAGCTTCCCTGATCTACTCTCAAGCTCGGTGTGCCTCAGCGTGGAAAGTGCCACAGGCTTCACAGACGCGGGCTGTACTCTGTGGGGTGGCAGGCCGCAGGTTGGTTGTACTTCCTGTCTCCAGCCTTCCTCCCACTTGGGAGCTGAAGATCTGTCCCATTTCCTGGGTCCTGTGAGGCTTTCCTGTGGTGACCTACCTTCTTCCTGTTTTCTCCCGCCCCTTAGTCTAGGCCCTGAGTGAGGTCAGCATAAGAAAATTGGATTCACATCAGGGAGGGTGTCCCATTCCCTGGCCCAGAGAAGCCCTGAGCCCAGGGCTGGCTGTCCAGCAGCCTCTACTCACCTTGAGGACAATCTCCACAGTGAAGACGGAGGTGAAAGCAATGTCAAAATACCCCAGGATCTGGGTATGGGGTGGGGGAGAAGCAGCAGTGAGAGGAGGGATGGAGCAATGATACCACCACTACTACCACCACCATGACCACTATTACCACCACCACCACCACCACCATGACCACTATTACCACCACCACCACCACCACCATGACCACTATTACCACCACCACTACCACCACCATGACCACTATTACCACCAC